CTGCCCTCACCGGAGATGGGCCTCCAGCACCCGGTCCAGGCTCTTGTAGAAGGGCCGGGAGGTGTAGTAGCCTGTCCAGTAGTGATCCTCCCGGTCCGCGTAGGAGAAGAAATCCCCGGTGAGCACTGGGAACCCCGGTGGCTTCATCCCCGGCACGATGCCCACCTTCTTGTACAGGGCATCAAAGTAGTCGGAGAGTGTCCCGAATTGCGCCTGCAGGAGAGCCCGGAGCGTCGCGAGGGGCCTCCGTGTCTCGCACCTTCCCTCCCAGGGCTGCCCAGGCAGCCTCCAGGCTCAGACGTGGCCATGGGGCAGCTTTGCCCGTGAAGATCTGCTCCCTCCAGCCCCTGCAGGTACCTGCACGTGGAGGTTGGGCTGCGCGTTGAGGAAGTCAAAGATGCGCTGGTAGTTGAGGAACTGGGCGTCCCATTCCTGGGGCTTGTCGTAGCGGAAGTCGTCGCCCAGGGGCACCAGCAGCACTTTGCTGCGATACAGCTTGGACTTCTTGCGGTACTGGTCCAGCAGGAGCTGGGCCCTGCCGTGAGGAGCAACGGGGGCCCGGGATGAGGCCGCAGGCAGGACGGGGGCTCAGGGCCGCCTGCCCTCCAGGCACTCACCGCTCGGCCACGTTGGCATCGGTGATGGCTCGAGGAGGCACCTTCCACGGGCAATTGATGCGGCCACCTGGCAGGCGTTTGAAGTCAAACTGGCAGCAGATCTTGGGGTCCGGCCCGCAGGTGTGGGGCACATCGTAGCTGTAGAAGGGCATCATGTGGCAGAAGATGTCGGTGCTGGAGTCCGGGTCTGCAGGACCAAGGACAGGTGAGCACTGAAGATGGCTCTGCCCTGCCTGTCCCCTGGCAGGAACTGGGCACGAGGCACACGGGAGCGGGGCGGCCGCCGGGACCAGCAGAGCTGGCACACAGCCTGTTCGGTGCTCAGAGAGCACAGAAACAGCCTCATTGCAGGGCCGGGCACTGGCCCTGCTGGGCAGACAGCCCGGGGTTGTCCCCAGGGCACAAACACTGCAGGGCCATCTCCCAGGCAGACTCATGGCCTCCTGGCACTCAGGAAGGAGACCACAGCTTTGCCGCCACCTCAGGTCCCTGGCAGGTCCCCTCCCTGCAGTCACACCCGCGACGGCCCTCACCCCACGTCTGTCTCCACATGAACTCCAAGTTCTGGGTGGCAGCAAAGTGCTTCTTGATGGCGTAGTGCACGCGCTGGATGAGCATGCCCGTCAGGTTGGAGCGCTTCAGCAGGTAGGGCATGGTGGAGCTGTGGCCAAAGGGGTCGATGGCCCAGCCCGACCGGGGCGTCACGCCTGGGGACACAGACACCGCTCAGGGCCGAGCACCAGGCCCGGCTGCACGGGCGCACGTGCCAGGGACCGGTGCATCAGCCCGGGCGCTGCTCCTCCCGCCCTGCATCCCACCCGCGCTCCCCGATGTTCTTCTCCAGCCACTGGTGCCCCTCGATCAGCTGGTCGATCATGGCAAAGTAGTGGGAATTGGCCTCGTCGGGCATCACCCAGCCACCCGTCACCATCTCCAGCTGCCCATTCCCAACCAGCCTTCAAGGGGACACACGGGAGACACGAAGAGGTCGGGTGAGCCCCAGCCAGACCCCAGAGCACGCGGCCGGGTATGAGCAGAGCCCATCCGCGTGGAGGGGCAGCGCAGCTCCCTGCAGCCCCGCTCAGTGCGTCCCTGGCGCCAGCGCAGCCCGGCCTGGCTCGC